TTTTTTTTTTTTTTTTTTTTTTTTTTGACAATGACAACAAAAGGAAATTTTGAATGGCCTAAATTCAAAAGGTATGGAACAGGATGGGACTGGCAATCAGGAAATGGATTCTTTGCCAACAATGAAATTTCGGAGGGTCGTAAGAGAACTTATGAATCTTCTACACTGGCGCCAGCCAGCTGAATTCGACGCTGATGAACGTCCCAGTTGTAAACCCGGGCTATCGTCACCTGTTACATGTTGTGCAGCAGCAGAATTGTAACAAACTAGAGATTGACTTAGCATGTCACTCTTTATTCAATGATGACCTATATAGCATGCACTTGAAAATTGTGTTCATTATGAATTGTCCTAAAAAGTAACAAAAGATTATGCATATTATAAATAAAATAATACTTGGAATGGATAAATATTTGAGATTTTTTTAATATTCATGAGGGGCCATTAGACATACAGTTGAATTCGGGTCTAATAAGACGGTGAGTTGTAAATAGACATACATACTACCATGACCTATGAGACACAACATTGAAAGTTTAGACACTAATTACATGCCGTTAATCTTTAGAAACCTTCTCGACACAATATTGAAGGTTTGGAGATTGAACTTGCAAGTATAACCCATTAATTTGATATGAAAAATTTATCTTAAAATTATTTAGTACGATTGGCTACCAACAACGTCGTTTAATGACTCAACGCTAATTCACTTCAGATAATATGGCATTCAAATCAGGCAAGACAGATATTTGAATGTCTTCCTATTTCACATTCATTACTAGCAAATTCCAACTATTTTGGCTGAATAGTTGTCCGTTAAGGACTTCAAAACCTGCCTAGTTTAGAGTTTCTAAACAATGGGTTATGTTGCCTTATCTTTTAAAAGGAAGTTTCACGTTATTATGACTTTTTCAGCAGAAAATATTCACTCAACAAATAGTTTGAAACAGAAAGGGGTATTTACCTGAGTTATTGTCACCTGGTCCCTCAGAAACTGTAGATCGGCAACAAGAACTTCTAAGCTTGCTTTAGCATTATCTAGATTCTTCTGTAGGAGGGCTGTGGCCTGCACCAGCAAATGTGAAGACAGCCATAACTAGTGTACTTTATTCCATAATTGGATAAGGAATGGGAAAAAATAATTGAAGGGAATTTTTTTAAGAAATATCTGTAACCTCTTCACATGAATAATCCAGCATGACATTTGCACCAAGCCACAGACAAACTGAGTCAGTTTCCTCGATACGAGCCCGGGAATATATGCCTTCAGAGATCTCGAAATCTGCTACAAGTGGCTGTGCATGATAGCTAAAGATAAGCAAATGGCTCAAGAAAATTCTAGTTCAAGCTGGTAAAAGTAAGGAAATGCCATAGCTCGAAGCTGCTCAGAACTTTAAAAGTAGAAGCTTATACTCCAAGAGCAAAACAACAAAACCAAAGCCACCAGCTATAGCTAAGGCTATTTGACAACAGCGAGAGTCCTATACTTTTACTTTAGCAATTAATAATTGTCCAGTAAGCCCTAGCAGATTCTTATGTTTACAGCCTGTGATATTCTATTTTATCATCTCTAAGGATGCACATAAAGCATGAACAAATTGATAAAATTCAATAAGAGTTATCAAGAGTATAATAGATTAATGTAACTTGGCAACTAGCTCTTTTTTTTTTTTCATTCCTTTCTTTTCATCTTTTATCAGCAGGAAACCATATGGGAATAGCACTCAAATAAAGTTGGCCTTTTCATTTATAAATAAATAAATAAGAGGAAAAGAAGAAACAGTAGTATAGGCAATGGGAGCATGAGGAAATGGTTTACGAGTCCACACATCCCTGTAAACCAAATGGTACAAAATTAGTAGTTGAAGTTCAAATGGCAATTAATGTTTTCAAGGCTTAAGGCATACAAAATTGCAGGAACTGATTGGGATTTGATTGCAAAGACCGAAAGATAGAAACAGGGCCCCTTTTTGAAGGTGTAAGAAAATAGGATTACGGAAAATTAAAGAAATGAAGACCTTTAAAGAGAATGTTTGAAGATATAGGCTTTTAGGTCCGTTTGTGTAAACATTTATATAATGGTTTTCAGGCAATTATTTTTTAAAAAAATATGACGCATGCACCTCAGTTCAGGAAAGCAAGCACCCATAAGAAATTATTTTAAATTGCTGCATCGAAAATAAATTTCAATATGAGATAATATTATAATGCAATTCACTTGGTCAATTTGATAACCACATATCTCTAAGATGGTAAACAATCAAAGCTACCGTTGAAGACAAAAGGACGAACCTCACCAGTGGCTGCATCCTTCTTTGCTTGTAAAGTAGCAACTATATCCAAACACTTCTTTATGTCTGGAATCTTTGCCTGACAAAAAAGGATGGAAGGGTGACAAAAAAGGATGGAAGGGTCACAAAAAAGGATGATAGTTGAGCCACGAGCAATATTTATGATTACATAAGACTAAGTAGCTACACATTAAATATTGCCTTCAACTATGAGAAAATAGTATATATTGCCTTGACATTATAGTCAAATACAAGCTACACATTTTATAAGATTGTAAAGTACCATTTATATAAGGAATCTGCCTAATAAAAATGCTGAGAGCCTAAGGCACATAACTTCTTCATTAAATCAAACATATAACAGCTACACACACAAGGCAGGTACCTTAGCTTAGCCTTGTGCATGCATTTTATCCTTTGTATTATAGGATACTCATAAGCCAATGATCAAAAGAGAACTTGTAATTTCTCAAACTCCATCCTCTCTTTGTAATTTCTCAGAATAATCTTGATATCTAATATCATCAATTGTTTAGCTTATACCCAGATTGTATTCAATAATTGGCTAAATTCGAGAAAATACCCTTGAACTTTGAACTTCACTTCAATAATACCCTTGAACTTTAGCATTAGTACTTTTGACCTTTCAAAATTACCCTTACCATTAGTAGCTGAACGAAAAACGTTTATTATTCTTCCTTCCCCTCTCTTTGCAAATTCTTCTTCCATGCAACAAATGGAACTAGTGCTAGAAGGCTTAGACGCTTTAGTTGTTAAGGCCAATATATAGCCAACATGAAACAAATGGAACTCCTCAACCTATGTCACTGCCATCAACTTCAGGGTTTGCTTCAAAATTAAGGCTTCTATTCATTTGGCTCCAGAAACCAAAATCGTGGGTTTCAAAAACTTCCCTCTCCCTCTTCCCTTCCAACCTTTTCATTTTCACTTTCAACTTCCCCCATGGAAAATCCTAACTTCACTAAAATTTCTGATAAAAAAACCCAAATGATTTCCTTTTCAATTATCATAAAAAAGAACTCCCGAATTACCCAACATTAAAATCCATATTCCCCAATCCTCAACCACTTCAAATCTCAATCTCAATTCTTCATTGTCTTCAATGGAAGTTGCTACAATTTGATTTCATTCCAGTAAGGAACATCTTCCATCGTTTTCTCAGAAGCACTTCCCCAAATTCCATGAAACCTACAATAGAAGCACTTACCCAAATTTCATGTGTATTTTCTATAATTTAGCCTTTAGCAATATGAAAAAATAGTGACGACAATATTTGAAAACTTAAAAAAAAACATGAACATATATACGAAAAATCTGACGGCCAGTATCCAAAAACTAAAAAAGAAAAAAAAAATGAAAACCTGCAGGTCCCTTTGTTGAGCAAGGAGCTTCATCTCAACTAACTTGTACTGCTGAAGTCTGCATGAAATATTTGCAGAGGATCATCAAAATGAAAAACCGTACAAAAATGGGGGTAGAGAAACAAACATGAATATCTTCTCCCAGGGACCCAATTTTTTTAAAAATCATAGGAAAGAGTTGAATAAAACAACATTTATTCACTAAAATCTACCAGCAATTTTTACGAATTCAATATTAAATACCACTCTAAGCGAAGAGAGAATTCCAAGATTCACGTCAAGTGCGCAGTAACAAAAATCTAAGACCTAACTAAGCCATGTAAAGCTCTAGGATTATAGACTTACGATACGAAATCGAGAAGCTCAAAAACAGGGCTCTAAGTCACGCAACTTGAATCCAATCCACATGAATAATAATGACACTCCATAAAAGTAAAACATCAATAATAATGAAACTCCAAAATCCTAACTTCACTAAGAATCTAGAAAGCTCAATACACTCTCGGCCACTAGAAACAGATAAAGCTCCCCAAAAGTAAAGCTGCAATACCACAACTGATAGCGATAAACTGAAAATATCGAGTTCACTAGCACATATATCAACTCCTCAATATCTTGATTGTAGCTTACAACTTAGAAAAGGACTTCAAAGTGACAGAAACACATCAACACGTGCCAGCAAATCACTACATGTGAGAATAAGCAAAACACAGATTCAAAGGCATCAAGCTGATGCGAACAACGCCGCCATTTCCGGATTTGAATTAAGTCGAAAGAGAACGAGAGAGTACCGCTCTTGGAGAAAAGCAAGGGCGGATTGAACATCAAGTTCTAATTGAGAGAGATAGGTACGAACGTCCTCCACAAACTGAGCCGCCGGAATTCCTCTTCTGTCAGTGACGACAGCGGCGGAAGAAGAAGAAGAAGACGACACTGAAGCCATTTCCGATCGGAAAAAACCCCCCAAAGCCTCCACAAAATTAAAATCTCAGCAACCAGTAAATTGCTCTTTAATTTCAGGAAAATGAAATTCAACCCCACGCTTGCTGAAAATGATGTGAACCAAACGACGTCGTAAAACTAAAACACATCGTAAAACAACGTTTACAGGCATGGCAATATCCGGCCCAATATCTAAATGGGCCAAAACTCTGGGCTTGGGCTGCCCGTACAAAGATTACTGGTTTTGGACCGGAGGCCCAACGAATTGAGTTTTGGGCTTTATCCGGTTGAGATTTTTTTTTCAAAGTTCATAGGATCCAACGACTCGAATAACCTATAGACTACCGGATACAAACTACAATGGCTCGGTTTGGTTAATTTTTTCTTTTTCTGATTTGGGTCGATTAAATTTTCTTAGAAACACAAATTTTAGTTCAATTCACGAGTTGAAACTTTTTTAATTTGGTTAATCTAACTTACCCGAACCTATGGTTCACAACCCAGTCTAAAATATAAAGAGTTAGGTCGTGTTAGGTTAGGTTGTAAACCCCGTCACCAGCTTGACCATGTCAAAATTTTAAACCAATAATTATGTATAAATGGTCTTTTTCGCAATCCATTTAAAATTTTCAAAGTATAAAGTAGAAACCAAGATTCATTGCATTTAATGAAGTTTAGAGGTTGGGGAGTCATAGTCTCCCAAGGTTAACAACAAATTGGGAAATTTTAAATAAATAAATAAATAAAACTTTATAATGATTTCAAATAAAAAAATATTAAAAATTGAATACTAATAATAATAATTGAGAAAATAAGGAAAAAATAAATAAATGACAAAATAATTACTTAATTAAATAAATAAATAAATAAATAAAACCAAATCCCACTTCAAACTAGTTTAGGTGGGTGGAGAATTTGTCTTTTTATTTAAAATTTAATAATTTAATTTATTGCATTAATAGGCTATTTTTAAGTAGGTGACTCCTAGCTTCATCACCACATATTATTTAATATTATCCTTTTGTATTTATTTATTTGGACTATTTATCTATGGAATCATTAAAAAATTTAATGAAAATTTAATTTTATTTAATATGTGACTTTTTTTTATATTATCAAATTAATTTCTAAGCTTTTAATTATGTCTTAGCTCTTCGGGTTTAATTAGGGTTATTCTATAGCAAGTCTTAGATATTGAATACAATTCACGGTAAAAAAGTCCATTTTCATGAATTATGAGATACACGAAGTTTGACATGAAAACCCTAACCAATTAGATTCATTTACTCATGCATCTGCAAGGGAGAGGTTTCCACACTCTTGTAATGTTTTGTTTTCCTCTCCAACTGATGTGAGATCTCACAATTCACCCCCTTCCTTGGGTACCCAACGTTCTCGCTGACGCACTGTTCGGTATATAGCTCTGATACCAACTATAACAGACTGCTGCCATTGATAGCAGATATTGTCCAGTTTAACCCGCTACATATCGTCGTTAATCTCACGATTTTAAAACGTGTTTGTTAGGGAGAGGTTTCAACACACTGATAATGCTTTGTTCCGCTCTCCAACGAGATCTCACAAATAATTGTTTACCATAAAAAAAAATAATTATATCAAACTTTTTCATGAGATTTCAGTAGAGGATTAAAAAGCAATATTGCTTATAAAGGCACAAAGATAGACAATTAAAGGATGAAGTTTCTTAAACTTTATACCTACCTTACTATACAAGCATATTTGATTTACCCTAAATAAAGTAAAAAGGTTAAAATATTATTAAGATTTTTTACTTTCAATTTCATATATTTATAAGAAAAATTACGGGTTTTACTTTTTAATTGTGTGATCCGTAATATTTTGATCCTTGAGTTTTCAAACTCGACATTTTAGCCTATAAATTTTAATTTTTATTAAAAAAATATATTATAGCTAAGCATGAAAGAAGGATTCCGACAAAATTTCAGATTTTTTTATAACTCGAGCTATTTTTTCTAATTTTTTATTATTTAATATTTAAAAATTCATTAAAAAAAATTGATTAGTTGAAAAATTATGAAATTTGATTTCTAGATCGAGGTTCATGCCGCACGCCCGAAGGCACTCGGCTCCATCCCACCTTGCATGTTTCATTGTCATACCAACCATCAACCATCCTCAAGCCAACCCAAGTTAGAAGGCAACATCGCAACATTTCATTCTCAACGAGGCTCATGTCGCACGCCCAAAGGCACCCGACACTGCCTCACCGTGCAAGTTCCACCACCGCGTCGCCGCCGTCAACCGCCCTCATCCGCCGACCACCACCCCCACGCCCCAAGCATATGCTCATGTGCGGCGCATAGTGCTTGGGGCGTGGGGGTGCCGGAAGATATAGGGGTCTATATATATATATATATAGTTTAAAATATCATTTTAATTTGAAGTCTTTTCCAGTTCGTCATCCAAATTGATTAAATAATAACTATCTTCATACAAAAATATATCATATGAAAAAATCAATAAAAAAAATTTAAAAAATGGAAATATTGATAATAAATCAGTAACATGACGATTATTTAACCTTAATTTTAATTTAGGGAAATAATATTTTTGTTAATAAAAATAAATAAATAAATAAGATGTCGGCTCGTGGTGGATTTTGGCTTTATTGGGGTGGCCTCACATGGTGGCAGCTCTTATGGAGAAAAAAGAAACACAAATAAATATATTTTTAAAAAATATTATAAATTAGAAAGTGGGGGCGGTTTGCTTACGTGGCAAAATGCCTGGAGATAGATGGGTCCCACATGTTGTCTTGTGCCTTGACATGTCACATGCTGCTTCATCATTATATATATATATATATATATATATATATATATTTATATTTAAAACAAAATTAAAATTGTTAATTAAAAACTTTACCATTTTAAACAAAGGAAGGATCCAAAAGAAGTGTAATTACACAAAAGGGCCCCATTTTTATTGTATTTATACAAGTTTCCATTCCCAAATAGTGAGAGCGACTACCATGGGCAAGGGCAAGCGTCCGTCCGTGTGCTCTCTATTTTTGCTTTGCTGCCTAATCCATCCGATAGCGAGGTCACGGACAACTACTTTTCATCTCACGTCGACTTTGATTATAATTCAAAAATGATGTCGGCACAATCGTTTACGATCGAGCAACTCTTTTGACAAGGTCGTGTGACTATCATATAATACGTTATCATATCTTCACATACTCCATGCCAAGCTTCCTCGTAAAAAACTGATATTTACTCGTCTTTGTGTGCCATCTTGCCACGATGGCCACGGTTTCATTTGGTTTACTATTTGTTCTTGGCATACAGTCGTGTGGTAGATGATTCGTAAACACAATGAAAATAGAATTGAAACATTTTATGTTTTAAAATGGGTTCGATGTATATTATATTGTACCTTGGGTTAAATTTTTTTTTTATCTTTTTAAATATAATGATGTAATTTAAAATTTGAATCTCAAAAGAATTTAAAAACATTTAGACAAAAAAAAAAAAAAAAAAAAAAAAA